ACTGCCCAATCCTGGGCCAACCTCACTACTGTTGCCTCGCTTGAGTCCATCGATGCTACCACTTGGCCAATCCATCATCACAGTCTAGAGTTGACTTTAAGGAGGCAGCTCTTCCCCAGTCGCATTTTGAGTGCCTTCCAACCTGAGGGGCTCATTTTCCGGCACTGTATCTGACAGTGTTTCTCTGCTACTCATACGGTTTTCAGTGACTAAATATTTGGAAGTAGTCTGTCACTCCTTCTTCCTAATCTGTCTTCGTCTGGAAGCTCATCTGAAACCTGTCCACTATGGGTGACCCTGCCGGTATTTAAAATACCGGTGGCATAGCTTTCAGAATCACAGCAACTCACAAAACACCACAGTACAACAAACAGACAGACGAATGCTGCTATTTGACTCACTCAATTTGTTTAAAACCATTTACAGAAAGGAGACAGATTAGATTTTACTTCTCCTTTCCCTTATCAGTATGTATAGTATCTTCTAAAAGTAGTACTGCCAAAGTCAAAAACACATATATGCAGAACGTTAGTATTGTTAATTGCTGTCACATCGGTTCCAACTCAGAGACGAAACCCCCTGTATAGGATTTTCGAGGAGCTGATAGTGGGTTTGAACTGTGCACCGTGTGGTTCAAAGTCCAGTGCTGGTCCTACAGTGTCACACCAGGAGTAAAGCTCAAAGACTTCATTTTGCTCGGATCAACCATCAACACTCATGGAAGCAGCAGTTAAGAAATCAAATGATGTATTGCATTGGGCAAATTTTCTGCACAAGACCTCTTTAAAGTGTTCAAGAGCAAAGATGGATTGGCACAATGGAAGCAGTAAGGGCTCAAGTGTAGCAACGATTGTTGAGACTGGCACAGGAATGGGCAGAGTTTCATTCTGTTGTGCATAAGGTCACTATGAGTCGGTACCAACTCAATGGCACCTAACAACAACAGCAAACTTAACCAAGAAAAAAGTCAGAAAGAACATGAGATTCTATTTATTCCTTTTAGCTAAAGGTTAAAGATTTTTAAATGATGAAAATTCCATGAATGGGAAGCGCATACTCCACCAATTTTAAAGACAAACATCACATTTTATTTGGTTTTATAGTCTGTTCACATTTTGAACCCAAAGAGCAGTCAGGTGAGAAAGATGCCAGAGACCTAGAAGGAGCTGCACTCTACTCTATAGGTGCTTTGACAAAGTAAGCATTATTGCCCACATCTCCAGATACATTGTAAAATAATTACTCTCGGTTCTATCTGTGATTCTCTTGGAAATTTTCCTTACCCACAAATCTGTTAAAATAGTTGTTAAAAGTGTCGTCGAATCTGAGGAGCAGCTGGTGGGATGAACTGCCAACCTTGTGGTTCACAGTCCAGTGCTGATCCTAGAGTGCTAAACTT